AGCTGGAAGATGACAAGATGTGAAGAGACACACAACTGGTTTAGAGGGAGGATTTTGAATCAGAGAGGACACTGATTAACAAGTTGTCCAGTTGTTACTTTTTCTTTCTTTCTTACTACTCTCCTAATCTACTCTCAAGTTCTTACATTTAAAGTCAGCTTTTTTTAATGGGATATGTTTGTAGAGAATTTCAAAAGAATATTTTTTTCCATGGGAACTTTGTATTTTGTATAATGCTGTATTGCCTAAGATTGTATTAAAAAAGGAGTTAGGAAGGGATTGGAGAAACCATATTTTTATTTTACTATTTTATATATATATTTATAGATATATCAAGGAATACAGGTGTATTCTTCTCAGTAAAAAGTTAAGTTTTTACATTTCAGGCAAAAAATGAGTTTGCTAACATCCTGCAGAAATGGAAAACTAGAATTCATTTTTTTTCTTCCCTTAAATGAAAGTAATTTTCTCTCCTCTCTTTAGCCTTCCGTTCCAAAGGAATCCCAAGAGTCCCAGATAGTTACAGAAAACTTTTTCCGCACACCAGGAGGGCCAAACACAGTATCTTCACTATCTGCAAATTCAGATGGTACCAACAGAACCTCTCAAGGAACTCTGTATATTCCTCAGCGAAAACTTGAAGTGTCAGAAGATTAATTCTGGGATATGAAATTACTGAATGTGTTAGCAGACATAATTACTGGTAACACACTGCACAGATCTTAGATTGTATGATGGACACTGGGTTTTGGATATGTATCGGCAAGACCTCAATACTGGAATAGCTTTAACTCTTTAGAATTAAAACTGGTCCTCAATGAGAAAGTTAATGTCTAATAATTTTTCCAAAAGGCTCACCTGAAGTATTATAGCAAAAAAGTTATGTATCTAGTGGTTTTTTGTGTTGCTTTTCTGCTATGCAAAGTAAGATGAAATTGTCTTTGTACAGAAAGGTACAGTCTATCAGTCAGTACATATTTTGCACAAAGAAAAGTACTGTGAGTGTGTATATATTTTATGTCTTAACAAAAAGGCCATAGTTAAAATGTCTTGCTCCTATGTTCAATAATGCTCTTTTGTAAAGTTAGAAAAAAAAAATTTCTTATTCGTTTTATATAAGTTAAGAATTATTTATACTGTATTTTTAAATCAATTTTTTTTCAGATTAAACTTACATCAAACTCAAATTCTGACTTATTTTTGGATCAAATTAAACTTACCTGAGTTAAGTAATACATTGTATATTCACTGGCATTTCTTCATTCTTTTTTGTCAGATGGGGGTGTCTCCCTTTTGAAGAAAGGGAAAATGGTATTTGATCAGAAAGGGATTTAAGTAACTCAATCCGGCTTCTGAACTCTATCGCTGGAGGTGACATCTGCTAGTAACAACCATTAGAGAACATACAGTTGTGAGGTTTGGCATTCAGAGTATCTTGATCATTATCAATTAGCATTCATAGTATCTTTAGTCTGGAAAGTGCAGTCCAGATATCACAGAACTGAGAATTTACACAGTTTGGGCCTTAAACTAAACTAGTAAGATTTGAAGATGAGCGCTCCTTGCCTTGCCTCTCTACTGTTAATCTCAGAGTTTGAGCCAAGCCTGTGCTATGCTATACACGTTCTAGAGGCTCTCTTGCCACTGGAGAGGCCTCAAGCCTAAGAGAAAGTTTCCATAACATTTGACCTGAGGTTCTGTAGCTGTCCAAATGGGTATGTGGCAGAAATCCCACCTGCAGTTACTGAAGCACTAACTCTTCACTGTCGCAAACAGCAGAAGGTCTGGCTCCTCGATGGGGGGAGCCCCCTGTCTGTGGGACACACCCACACCCCACAGAGGCTGTAGGGTGAGTTTCTCCTTTCCAGCCAAGGTCAAGGTCAGCTTCCAGTTGCTGTTTCTCCCTCTTGCAATTCTGTATCAATCAGGTTCATTTAAACCAACTGAATTTAAATACATACAGCTCAGTCTTCTATGCTGAAGGAAGGAAAATAAAACCTACACCTCACACTCATGACAAGGAATAACTAAAAGAGGAAAATACAGTGTATCTGCCTTCCCACCTGATATGTGCCTGGTTGTCCAAATTAGGACAGGAGAAATGCTAGCAAGGCCCAAGATTCAGGCTTGGACTGGGTAAAAAAGCATAGCTGAAACAGCCAACACAGTAAAACTAACTCATTTGCTCTTTAATAATGCACAATTATAATACAAAATGCACCCACCAGAACAGGATGACTTCAAATCTTCCTACATGACAGGAGGAAAAAAAGAAAAGCTAGAAAATGGAGGAATTCTCACTGCAGCAGTGAGTAGATTATTTTTTCTTCTCCAAAGTGGATTGATCTTCCTTATACATACTATCAATTTAATTCTAGAAGTACAAAAGCAAAGCCTTACAGAAACTTGCATTACTAAAAGGAAACAAACCTCAAACCTTTCATTTCCAGACACCACAGTTGACAGAAACTACAGTAATTAGGCTTGGAGAAATGGTCTTCTCACAAACCGTGCTCTATTCTGGAAAGCTTCACGTATATTCCAATTTGCTGCCTGGTGTCCCTTGGCTCCTGTCAAAAGACAGTCGCTTCCTCTTTCACACAGGCTGTATAACACCTAGCACTTTGTCCTTGTTCATTTTTCCAGCTGAAGAACTACTGCACCTCTGCTCAAAGGATCCTATTCCCCAGAAGTGCTGCATTTTGCTGACTAGCTGAGCTCACTGCCCTTCCCACCTGCCTCACCTGCCCTCGAGCATGACCTGAGTACCCGACCTGCTCTGCTGCCCAGCTTTAGGAAGGTCACTTTGATCCCTGGGCTCGCTTTGCTTTTGACGCGCCATGTTCCAACTCTCCAAAGCACTGGTTTTTAATCCCTACTTTTGATTTATAGAAAACGCCGCATTCCCACTCCACCAGGAATATAAACATTCATGCATATATTACACTCCAGCTGCGTATTTCAAGTCTGTTCTTCCAGTCTCAGGTCCTGATAGCCACAGTGGACCAGGGATTATATGAAATGCCAACTAACCATGTGGCTCCAACTGCTCCTTTGAGCTGTAAAGAGCCTCTCAACAAGACTCGATTCCCTCAGCAGCACCCAGTATCTGGGGCAGCACAGAAATGAAGCTACAGCCAATACCAGGAAACTAAAGGTTGTTCCCTGCCTTTTCCCCTTAAATTCTGACAGTCTCAAAAGAAAAATACTTACTGACATTTTGGGGCAAAATCTTCTCCCACAGATTTCCCTGCAGTTTATTACGGTGCAAATCCAAGTACACAACCTACACAATGCGAGTGACGATCAGTGAAGATGCAGTTCCTTCAAACGTCCTAACCTATAAATCACTAAGTGTGCAAACAAAGCAGTTACAAGTTTCTTAGCACTTTCCCTGTACCCCAACAGTGAGCTCGGTCCCATCCCACTCCCTCCTCACTGCCATTTTACAAGAAACATTCATACCATGTACACCGCACTGTCACCTCTGCTTTTAGCCTTATGTGATACAGGCAGCAGAGTTCCCTTAACTATCTGGGGAGGACCAAGAAGAGACGGAGTCCAGCTCTCTGGCTCAGGAAAAGGTAGTTCTCCAACTTCACAGCAAGGACCCTTATGAGGACAGGCTGAGAGAGTTGGGGGTGTTCAGCCCAGAAAAGAGAAGGCTCCAGCCTTCCAGGACTTAAAGAGGCTACAGGAAAGGAGGGAGGGACTCTATCAGTGGTTGTAGGGATAGGATGAGGGGTAACTTTTTTAAAATGAAAGAGGGGAGATTTAGATGAGATCTAAGGAAGAAATTCTTCCCTGTGAGGGTGGTGAGGCCCTGGCACAGGTTGCCCAGAGAAGCTGTGGCTGCCCCCTCCCTGGAAGGGTTCAAGGCCAGGTTGGACGGGGCTTTGGGCAACCTGGGCTAGTGGAAGGTGTCCCTGCACATGGCACGGGGTTAAAACTAGGTGATCTTTAAGGTCCCTGCCAACCCAAACCATTCTATGATTCTGTGACCTGTCTCTGCATTATAAATTTTTTCCTGGACTCAACATTCATCTATCAGCTCCTAAGAGTTTTCAAAGTAGCCTCAGCAAACAGACCCCTAAAATCCTGAAGTCTGACATGGATTTGGCATCTAATTTCCTTACACACCCATGAAAGTGCCAGAGTTGAGACTCTCAGTTTCAGCCTTCTGGTGTGTAACCTCTCAGCTGTGAGGGCTTGGCCCTTTCACACACAGCAAAGTCCATGATACTGAACAAAGTTTCTAAATTCTGACATCCCTTTAGAAAATGAGTATTAGCCTCTAACGTCTTTAAAGCACTTCATGTTCACTTTTTGCAGGGTTTTATTTTAAGTGCTTCATACTTCAATCTCCACTTCTTTAATATGTCTGCAGCATCATCCAGTTCCAAGGGGCTCAGTGAGACAGGGCAAATATAACTGCAATGATTAGGTATGCTCAACAGTATACATCTTAATTAGCCATCTTAATGCCTAACACCACTCTAATCTTTTAATATTTACTAGAAAGCCTAATACTCTTAAACCTGTACCTTAAGACAAACCACATCTATCTATCAAATCATGAACTGCTGAATAAAATTCTATGTGGTTTAAAACTGTTGGGTTCCAGCAATTCTTATAAACAGATTCTGATTTTTATTTTTTTTTCAATAATTATGTTGGTAAATTACTTTTGGCAATGTGACCCTTTATGAATAAATCCTCATTTCAGAAACCATTATTTTTATGATTCAGATTTAAGCCATGCAGTAGCAAGTATAAAACTTTAATCTTTATTTCTGATCTATTAGCCTGCATTTAGGAATGCTCTCTAGGTGTAATCTGAGGGGCTGCATTGTTGTCGACCTACTCACAAGTGGACATAAGGGAACAAAATGCCAGGCTTTTGTCAGAGGTTATTTTCAGCTTGGTGATAGCAATGGCATTGCTCAGATCCCTGAAACTCTCTCTTATTCCCCTCCCCTCCCAGCTTATAGGGCTGACAGTGGTGGCCACTGCATTTAAAGAGTGCAGGAATCCCTCGCGTTCAAACCCTTCAAGGCTTAAGAAAATACAGAGAAACATCAAGCGACTCCGGTAAGTAGAGCGGATCAGGTTCTGCCAAGACTGTCTGATATAAGGCTTGGGGGGGTTTCTGTTTTTTAGGGTGGGTTTTTTTTTTCCTAACAGGTGGTAGAAACAGCTTGTTACTTGACAAAGTAGGTATAGCACAGAAATGCAAGTCTTGCAGAGCTGAGAGCAGTATTTTAGGTTTGGAGTAGCAGGCTGATAAGAGAGGTTCTTGTGGGCTTTTGAGCCTGTTGAGTAGCTACTAGTGTTACAAGGACAGGGCTGTAGGGATCCTCGTTAATGATTCACATCTTTTGACAACAGGCAGAACAAAAGTTTCAAAAGCTTTTAAAAAATTTTGTTACAAAGCTACGGAATTACGTTTTCCATAGTTTGTATATAAAATTTTTAAAGCATACGAATTTGTGTGCTTTCATAATTTCTCAGGTAATAGTATTCTAGAAGTAAAAAACCCACAAAAAAAATCCTCAAAATATTTAGTGTCAGCGATGAACTGGTTTTATATCAAACAAGAAGTAAACTTCTATGCAGACCTGACAGAAAATGGCGAGATAAGAATGAAAGATGAAAGTATTCACACATCCATCACTCAAGCATTACAAGGCAGCATGATTGGTCAAGTCTCCTGAAAAGCCTTAATAGTTAAGAAAAAAAAACCAAAACAACAACTTTGAAAAGTTTTCTACGTAAACATAAAATTATTTCAAAGAATAAAGCTTTGTATATAGATAAAGTAATTCTGTGTCTGATCTCAGTCATCATGGCACCATTTCAGAGTCTGGAACAGTTCTGCTTGGCACATAAAAGACTTCGTGCACGGATAAGGATTTCGAGAAGGATCTTGTGGAAGGACAAGTGAAAGTTGATAGCCCAGGATTAGGTTTGGAAAAAGGAACGGGTCATTTGTACAGCAGGATGCAGTCTCCCACAGGCACATGAATCAAAGCGAACTGAGCTTGTATGTACAAGCATGTCTCTCTGTGTGTGGTCGTTTTTTAAGTCAGAACTAAGTACCTTGTTCTAGTCTCAGGGTATCATGTGTTTTAGAGGTGCAATCTTAAATTGCTGCAAAAGTGTGCATCAAGGAAGTTATAAAGGAAATGTGGCATTACTATGCTAGGAAATAATAGATAACTTGGAAGGACAGAGATGAAAGCAAAGGACTCAGACACCCAACTCTGAGTTTTTCTATCAGCTTTTGCAAATCACATGCTTGATATAAAGTCACTTAAGATCTTTTGTTTCAAAAAAGGGCTTGTGTAAGTGTCAATGAAAAAAAAACCCAAACCAGTATTTCTTTTCTTGTGTCAGTGTGGAACTTCTCATCCCTTGATCTCTATGTCTTTGTTTACTGCAGAAATAAAGGAAAAATGCTAGTCATTATGAGATTGTGGTGAAGACTAAATGTATGACACTAACTCATGAACTTAAAATTTACCTGTATCAATAGTTAATTTAATGCATTGGAATATAAGAAATATGATTATAAATAGATAACAATAGTGCTTCTTTATTAAATTACCTCAATCTTCAAACAAACATTTCCTGTGTTGTGAATCAATTCTTATGAGAGAGAATGTTTCAGCCATCGGGTTTTGACAAAAGCACCTTCAGGCTTTTTGAGACACAGCGACAGGAACTGGCTTTACACTGCGGACACATTAAAACTTAACAGGAAGCGTTAGCTGAAGAGAAGGAGAAAAACTACAGCAGCATTTTACTGCTACTTGCATGAAGGAAGCTGTATCTCGTTATCCCCATGGTGCTGGGGACGGTCGAATGAGTCACTGGTGGTCACAGGACAGGTCAGCAGCAGAGCTGTGATTAGATACCGAGTGACGTCCCGGTTGCCTTGGCATTTCCTGCTGACTTCAGCTGGGAAAAGAGTTTCCAAGGTAGCCTTGATACTTGCCTTTCAATTGAGAGAGTGATTTAATTTCATATTATTACTGTTTATTATGTAAGGAATCAGTATTCTTAGACTTTTAACTGAATCTGGACTGAACAGCTAGCTGGGACTAGAACAGAGAGAGATTCAAGGCACTTTCTATCCATTGGCCCCGATTCAGCACTTCTACCACCATTTCTACCAGCTGCCACCAAAGCCAACGCTTCCCGTTCCGTTTATGCCCTCCAAAGCCATCCCCGAGCACAGGCGGCACCCTGAGATAACCCTCCCAGACACACAATACGTAACTTGTGCAGTCCGTTCAGATACAACATGAGCTCTAGACTCTCAAATGCATAATGCATTTAGATGGGAAATGCATTTAGAAGGGAAAAGCTCACACTTAGCAAGGAAACACCAGAATTACTTTCAAGATCTTTTTCACCTGCACCACGCTGTCTAGCACTAGTGCTGCCTTTTAATCCTGAACACAACTTCATTGGGCCAGTACTGCCTCCACTTCCCATTTAGATCAAAGGATCTAAACATATTTTGGGATTATACTCTTATCAATGGCACTCTGATTAGTGGGACACACTCTGTGACAGATATGTGACACCCAGATTTGTACGGTATGACTAACAGCCCAACAGAAGACGGCTCACATTTTTTCATGCCTTGCAGAGCACAGAAACACTTCAAAGGCTTCCTTGCTCTGAGGCTAGCATACCTAGTAGTGTTACAAGCTCTAACAAGAAGCGTGTATCCTTGGCTGCACAGCTAATGTGTATAAATTCTACTCCAGATAGTAGCTGCATTTTGAAGCTGAACAATACAAGCTGCTGAATACTATTAGAACAAGTCCAAGAACACTCCTCCAGCTTAACAGTACCGTGAGTGCTTGCCAACATGCCGCAATACTACAACACTCAAAAGCTTCTCCGTCACATGTTTAATGCATTTAGAACAGGTCCACTCTACTTCCCACTAGATCACCAAAATATAACAAGTTCCATTTAGCAGTCATTGCAAGTTAACCAGATTAAGGCAACAAAGGTCAGGGAATTTCAAGGGGGTTTAGATACTGACACTCAATGAAATTTAGAGACATTAAGACTTTGGGTATATTCTTTTCTTATGACATATAGGAGATTGAGTTCTATTTGTACATTATAAGGATGGAACTTTATCTACCATTACAATCTGGATGAGTAGAAAACTAGGAATGCCATGTACCCTGTGGGATTTACTTGCTCCTGGTAATACTGCTGCACAAGCAGCATCCGCAGGGGTGGTCACTGCACTTCGGTGCTGGAGAGATGACCAAAGCAAGGACACAAAGAGCACGGACTAGCTCAGGTACCTCAACGCACTCTTGAGTGGCCGGCGCAGCCACTGGGGCACACACTGATGTTCTTACACCAGTATCCTTATGGGAACGTTTTTACTGTGCCTTCTTTCTCCTAGAGCTTCCCATCAGGTGATGCCAAGAAACCATGGAAAATGTGTATACACGCCCAGTCATGTTACTATACTTAGTCACAGGAGCAATGGCTCTTTGAAGACCTCCAGCCCGTAACAGCACAAGGTTCACTATCACACGTTATCAGACTTTTTCAGAGATTAATTTTTTTCCTTCAGTTAATGATGTAATTAGAGCTACTTTCCAACAAGTATGCTGTTGCCACAGACCGAGATGCTGGGTGTGTCTCTGAGGGGAGCTGAAACAGCAGAAGCAGTTTACAGAGAGTGGAGGTGCAAACCTCTCTGCTCCCAGTGCTCGCTGTGGGTGCTGCTCCAGCTGGGAAGGGACTCCACTGGAAACCAGATTTGAAAGGGAATGTTGTGAACACCAAAATCAGATTTTTAGTTTTCACGAAAAAGTGTCACAAACCTGATTTTTATCGCCTGTCACTCCTCCTCCTCTTAAAAATGTTTGAAGCCTTACTTGAACTATTTTTGTAAGAGGAAAAAATGACACCAGTAGAAAAGTACTTTAAAAATAGAAGAAAATACAGAATAGTGGAATGAGACAATAAGATTTTATCTATATGTGAAAAATTTCTCCCTGTTCTTTTATATCCCATTTAAAAGAAATGGAAAAGATACTTAACCAGTGCTGCTCAGTAAAGCCTTCACTGAGTAAGAAAGGACCAAATTCATAGTCTGTTCTTTGCCTGCAGTTATTTTTCTTTCTTATTTCAGCTACATCAGATTTTTGCTTCTTACTCATTACATTACAGATAAAGAGTTAGAGGCAAGCTGAGTTTTCTTTTCCTTTCTGCATCACTACTGTTTTCTAACTGTCAGAGCAGTTCAGCTCGTGAACAGCCTCCCAAGACAACGGATAGGGTCTGAAAAGAGATGAACGGCACGGTTGCTGTGTGACAGCAGAGGACTAGGCTGACTGAGCTGGGGAGGTTGTTCAGCTGAGCATAAATCAACCTCGCAAAGAGAAGGAGAGATTGGATCTTGCACGAGGATGACAGGTATGCTGTCTACTCCATGTGACAGTCACAACAACGAATACGTAATTACTCAGGGTTTAAGGCTGTACTAGCAACCTCAGTACCAAAGCAGAGATGTTTGGATATGCTGGTATCTGAGTTGTTATAAAACAGATTGTAAAACGTGCCCACGTTGCTGTGTCTGCAGTGCTATTGCTTCAGTGTGTGTCCATGCTCCTAGGCCACCTTCCTTCTGCTGGACAGACGTGTCTTTTACACCAGTGCATGATCTTTAGTGTTAGTTGACAGAAGGAATTTCCTTCAGGTTCAGCTTGCAGAGCTGGCATGTAGAAACTGGTCATTTTATTTTGAAATTTAGAAGACACGGTACTGAAGTCACCAAGATGATAAAAAACACAGGACATTAGTGTCCAATGTACAGACGTAGTAAGATGTTAGTCTAAAATGCAAGCTGTTGAAAATACCAGCTATGTGACATCACTGATGCGATAGATTCCCCTCTCTCTCTCATTTGACCTCAGAAGAAAATTCTCAGGTAGCAGGCCTGGTTCAGCATTCAAAATCCTTTTTTTTTTTTTTTAAGTTAAGGATATCTCATGGTGAATTTAATCAAACACAAACAGCACAAGCAGGCTTCGAAAGAACTATAATAAGAAGGTGACTGGTTTTCCAAGAAGGAGAAGAAAGGCCTGAGCCAGGAGCTTGGAACAACCGATAATGCGATGTGCAGGTGACAAGATGACGTCCCAGTCTTTCCAGAAACGATGACTCAAACAAGAAAACAGAAGGGCAAACCGTCGGCTGGGGTTGTTTCAGATGCATGACAGCACAATCATCAGGAAGGGCACTGACTGAGTTGGCCATCAGGTGACCCGAGCTGGGCTCCTGGCTCCGACACCGCGCTCCTGTGTGACCTTGGGCAAGTCACTTCAACAGTAACTGGAACAGCAACCACAACCTTTTTTTTTTCTTTTTTCTTTTTTTTATTTTCTCTCTAATGTTTAGATTTTAAAAACAACTGACAAAGAAAAACACACCTCAAGCACCTTAGGAACCTATTATTACTTTATAATAGCTCTACAGCACAGTGATCTTGCAGCTGTTTTATGAGGAATTCAAAAAACCAAAGACAACTTGTTTCTATTAAAGTATCCCCTGAAATAATACTGTACATTTGTTAAACTTCAAGGTGGAATTATCCAGGTACAAATTGTATACAATTATATCATACTGACACAGAAAATTGCCTTTATACTTGTCACTGAGGAAGCTCATGTGGCACTGGATGAACCAGCACTTGAAGAGGTATAAATAGTACTATATGCTGTCTCTTACCAGAGAGTCTAGGTAGAATACTGTTCTGTAGAAAATTTAATGACAAATACTGTCCATGCTTTTGCTTAAACTCCAGTAAAGCTTCAGAGTGTTTGATAGCCTCCATTAAAAATTGCCTGACAAAACGAGATCAACACACGTAAAGCAAAAACTGAGGGGAAAAAGACTACGTTGGGATACATGGGAGGGCAGGATTGAAAGAAAATTACTATTTGTTGGAAATAAATCCTAGATCCACTTTTCCATAAGAGGTTTGAGTGATCCTGGCACCTTTTCACTGAAACAGCTCACAATCATTTCACATAATTACCATCACAATACACCAACCTAAGGAGTGTCATTATTTACAAAAGTTACACAGGACTGAGGATTCAGGCTGCCCCTGCTCCCTGAAGCACCAGGCCAGCACCCTCACCCACAGACAGGAGACACTCCTGCTACACGGCATGTAGCATATTGCACTTATGAAACAGCAGTTAACTGGAAAGGGGGGGGGAAAGTAATAATAATTTAAAAAAAACCCCAACCAACTGTTTTAAAATAATTCAGTTTTGCTGTTGTATTTATTTATGTAACTTGATTTTCTAGGTTACCCTTCAGCCCCAAGGATGCCCAACTGGGGAGGTGGAGCCAAGTGCGGTGCCTGTGAGAAGACAGTGTACCACGCTGAGGAAATTCAGTGCAATGGGAGGAGTTTTCACAAGACGTGCTTCCTCTGCAGTAAGTGGGGCTACACTGTTTTCACTCCACAGTATTCCCATAGCTCTGTATGAATCTTCCATTAAAGCTGGTAAATTTACTTTTGTGTTACTTTGCGTGCAATAAAGCAGCTTCATAGTTTCCCCAATTGAACACGTTTGCTCAGGGGACACCTACAGCAGGTTTTAAACACCCTACACAACAAACAGGACGGTAGAAGCAACCAGCATCAGACTGAATTTCACACAGGGAAAGTTCTGTAAAGTTTATGCATCTTACATCTGGAAAAATTCCAAGTAGTGGGCAGTCACACATTAATCATCCTACCTAAAGTACAGCGAGATGGATTCTGGTCCTGCTCTCTCTAGAAACCTAAAGATGAAACCTTTTTCCCGTCCTTTTAGTAATGAAAGGGTGGAAAATGACTGCATCCGTTTTCAAAGCAGCAGCCAGTTTTCTGCAATGCCACTGTGCCACTCCATAGCAGCTCTTAATAATCAAACCCAGTTTTCTAGGCCCTTACCCCAAGCAATCTGCCTCTCGGGCTCCTGATTTTTATTTTTCCAAACACGATGCGTTAGATGACTTTTGTTAGGGACACTGGAGTGCTGCAGAATCACAGTATCTAGGGGGATGTCCAAGAAACTCTACCCTCTGTTCCACAATGTAGCATATTACGGGTTTGTTTCAAGTTTAAAAAGTCTACAAGAACTAATAAAATAGCGTTCATAAGGAAGAAGTATGCCTCATTGTGATATTATAGGAGATGATTACTTTTATGATTAATCCTAAGAATTAATTTCACACAGGAAAGCTGGAAGACATTACCTGTGTTACCTAAAATCTCCCACCAACAGCCTACAAATACCTCATTTTCCTCCCCAAAATTTCATATACTCCCATTTAACTTACTCTTTTACTCCATGCACCTCTCGTATTCAGCAGATAGATTCTAGGAATATTACTTTCTCTGCAGATGAATTTAGCCCTTGAAAAATTAGAGACGGTATCAGAGTTCAGCTCTGTTTGCCCTTTGTGGAGAGAGTAAACAATTTGATAAGAACTAAAGATAACTAAATAGTTTATTTTGCAGACAACACTTGAGATTTGGTACCTTTGCAGTATGAATTCCAGCATGACAGCTTAGGAACCATTGAATCCAATTTTTCACCCTCCTTTCCTGGATGGATAGAGAATTCTCACTCAAATGCATGAGATTTGCCTTACATGCTTAGATGACACAGTACTATGCAGAGTCAGTCCAAAGGATGCACTTGAGTCGTCTTTGCTGTCTCTGAGTGCCCTGCAAGTGATGCCTAAAAGACAAGAGTCAGAAAAAATTCCATGAAAAAGTTTTCAGGTAATCAACAACCTTCAGCCAATTCTTACAGAATGGTAAAAATCTCAGTTTTGAGAAAATTAGAAACTTTTTACTTCTTCCATGTGCTGCCTGTAACAGTTAATATTTGATATGAGAGAATCTATAGGGAGAGGGACATGAATGTGGTAATTATGAGAAAAACTTTACCTCCCTTACCTTGTAAGGAAACATTATTAAGCTTCATTCTTAGCATAACTATTTTTTTTAAATGATTCATGATAAAAACCACATATATCCATTAGCTCTGCCAGCTGTTTGTTTGGTTTGTTGGGGGTGTTTGGTTTTGATTGGTTGGGATTTTTGTTGGGGTTGGGGTTTTTTTTATTTGCCTCTTGTAGTTATAAGTCTGAAGGAAATTATTAATAGGTTAGATACTAAAAATGTATTCCCAGCAGAAGTATGTTTAAGGTCAAAAACTAAAGATGCATCTAAGCCCAGCTGGCATATAAGAGGTATGTTAATTGGCTTTACTTTTCCCATGATTCACACACACTAATCAGCAGCTCCGGACAACTCAGGATCATGTATCATGTTCATGGGCTTTTCAATGAACCAATTATAGGATTTTGTTTCTCCACAGAAGAAAAACAATCCTCCCTGACCTAATCTCAGGTACGAAACAGTTAACCTCTTTAGTGGAGCTTTATATTAAACACATCTAAAATATGTTTTATATTCTACACTATTTTTGATCAGACACACAAAACACACCAGTATTTTTTCAACCAGAAAGTTCAATTTGGGCAAAACTATGGACAATTCAAACCAACCTGTTAACACAGTAAGAATCAGACAAGCTCATCTATAAATCAGTCTCTTCACAAACTTTCCCTACAAACATTAACAAGGGAGAAGTTTTCCCACAAACCCTCCTTCCCGTGCAGATTGCTGTTTACCTACCTTGTTTCCCTGTCAGCTTTTACTCAAACCGCAGCTGTGACGGACATTTGGCAGGATCTCACACCATCAACCTGAAACTTCTTAGTGCCGGCTCGCCAACAGTATCTGTTGGCAGATGACAGGTCTCAAAGTTATCTCAACAATAGCACTTCAAGGGCTTTTGCTCCATCTGTTGTGGTGAATTGATACTCTATCCCTAAAGTGCCAGAAATAGAAACACTTCATCTTCTGCTAGAGTTTCCATCATCTCTTAACTCCCTTAGCAAATATAATTATCATGGCAAAGCAGAAGAGACTGAAGCACGATGTGATCAGGTTCACACATTTACAGAAGTCCCTCATTTTATTTCTATTAACTATAAAAGTCCTTGCATTTTTTTTTCCCCTCTACACACTAGTGACAGAATTAAAGCTGCAATCATTCCAGTATCAACTTCAATTCCCTGATGTGGATGAAATTTTAGACTCACAGCAGGACAGTTAAAATAAACATGGGGGGAAAGGGACTAATTGAACACCCTGCTAGCTCTTCTAGAGCTTGAACTTCCAACCACTTTTGATGCTTCTATATTTCACGGGTTTATGTTGTTTACATGAGCTAAGTAACTTCATTTCCCAAGCTTTCAGCAGCCCATGCATGACTGGAATGGTGTCTGTGAGGCATACACTTGTTCAAGGGAAGTTAGAGAAAAAGCTTATACTTTTTTTTTTTTTTTTTCGTTATCAACCACTGTTGACACAGAGAACAAGAAATAAGAAATGTTGGAATTTTAATTTTTAAGCATAGTACATGGCCCTGATTTTCTACAGGCACTCTGAACTGGAAGTTTCATCCCCTCTCAGTGGGGTGGGGGCTGCCTCACACCAAACTCCCCAACAGCACAGCATGCAGTCGCCAAGCACACGAAGAGTGTAGCTACTATTTTTTTTCCCGTTCAGTACTGTCCCGTTTCCATATGCATAAGCAGCAAGGAGGTCCAACAGACTTGTAACAGAATTCAGCCTCTAAACGCTGACCAAGTTTCAGATAAGCAAAGCACTGGGGAGCGAGCGTTGTAGCTCCCACAGCCCCTCGATGAGCACAACCCCCCGTGAGACCAGTCGCAGCAATGCTGGGTAGCTCTAGGCAGGGGTTGTGTTTCAGAATGTGGACACGTGCTTACCGAGATCCATACAGAAGGAGTTACTTGCACTCATATCTTCTGGTCCTTCCGAGCTGAAGCTTGGTTTCGAGTAGTGCTGTAGAGGATATAACTTGCATTCCATTAGGAATGTTGGGCATTCCCGTGGCATCTTCTGTCCGTCTCCCAGACCTTTCCTAGCGAGCTAAGCCCAGCACTATTTCACTATAGTGAACATGACCAGGAAGAGGTCTCTGGTTTTGGAACAGCTATAATCATACTCCTGCTATCCTAGAGGAAGTCTAACAGAGCTCAGACTACCAGTTATTTAGGATTGTTGCCTTGCCTTGCACTACAGCTCAAACAAATTAAAAAAACCCAACATATCCTGCTTGACTCTGGACATGGTATGCATGTTATACCCTTGTTTGGAAATAAGCCACATTAAAATAGCACGGGCTGAGATGAAAAAGCCACCACAGGCACAGAGTAACTATTTTAAAAGATGCAGATGCACAGTAGAGTCAACAGCCCTGCACATTATTTTTTTTCTTAAGATTTGGGAGTTTAGGATGACCATCTCTAATCCATTTAAGCTTCACAGATCTAGACCAATTTTCTTGATAAGCTTCTAAGTTTCCTAGGGTTAGAGTATAACTTTAGAGTGGCGACAGAGCATGTTGTGTGCATGCACAACTATTTTAGCAACAGCCCACTGAAGTTTTATACTGACTATAGGCTAACACCCTCCTTTTTCTGTATTTTTAAAGATAAAAATAAACACTAATTGTAATTATTCTGAACCACATAAACTCAAATTTGAAAACGCAAATGCTTATACATGTCTCTTTTTCCCTGTTTTCAGTGGCTTGCAGAAAAGCTCTGGACAGTACCACGGTAGCCGCTCATGAATCTGAAATCTACTGCAAAACCTGTTACGGGAGAAAATATGGTCCCAAAGGTATTGGCTTCGGACAAGGGGCAGGATGCCTCAGCACCGACACCGGTGATCATCTGGGCTTGAATCTGCACCAGTGAGTTAAATCCCACTGACAGCACCTTTTTTTCTGGTACTACGTGTCACTTAGCAGGCTATTTCAGATATTTTATTCTGTTTCCATAACAACATCTAGCATAAGTAGCAGAGCAGACTTTCCTATAACCTCTCCTTCAGTAGACACTGTAATTTACCAGTTTTTAATGATGTTCAGTCTCTTTAAGCCTTCTTTTACAAATTAACTCCTCCTTCAATGGGCAATTATTCTGCAGCAGCAGCCTTTAAATGTCACCACACACGTAAATATTCGCTGCAATTGTAATTTGCCATTAGTAACACAGTGGTGAAATCATATTCACCATAGAACATGAGAATTATTTTTTTTTTTTCTCTCTCAGAGACTAAAATACAGTTAAGTTTTACTGTTAGAGAAATAATCACACTACCACATACTGTTAACTCTCCTCTCAATGGGGGAAATAACATTTCGAAATCCTCCCTGTGGCTCGAATAACATGTACAAACACACCAAGAATATGTTTGAACAAAGGAATTCTAATAGGATACCATCTTCCAAAAGCACAGAATTATCTCTGACAGTACTTTTTTCTCTGATTCTCAAAGCTGCACATTTCCAAATCAACGAGGCTTTAAGGGAACCAATTAACCTATACGCTGTGCAGGAAATAAAAGCTTAAATAATGCATTTAAGTGTATCTCCTTGTAAGATACAAATCCATTACAGGCAGAGTTCTGCATCAAACTGTCACGTCCTGTAGATTTAATGACCTGTTGCAGTTCAACTATCCAATAATTCAAAAGTCATTCTGTGAAAGGCTTCAAGCTAGCACAAAGACAGAAAGCACAAAGTCCAGAAATACAAAGCAAAGCTACTGTTCTGATGTGCTTTTGACCCCAGGCCAGCTAAGAACCCCAGCTCCCAGTCCAAATGTTACAGGACTATTGAAACAACCGCATGCAGGATCTAATTTTTATTTTTCCGTCACTCAGTACCTGCAAAGAGCCAGTTACAAAGAATAGAGAGGTCGTTCACTTGTGTTTTCCCTATTGCCTCTCAATAAAACAAGATTCTTTTTTACATCCACTTTTCATTAGAGTATTTTCTGCACATGGATGCTGGCAGCTCCAAGTACTCACCCCAAAACAGGTAACCTCAGCAGTTACAGTATCAGCTTTTCAATCACACAACACAGGATAGAATACTTATTCTTTTTTCCCCTCCTTTTGCATGTCTAAGACCAGTAATTGAGTATTTTTTATCCCTTAGCAAAAACCCATGAAATCATATTCCTAGAACGTAGGTAACATTTTAAGCAGTACTTTAAAACTCCAAAAACTTGTTTTAGGGGGTCACCGAAGTCTGCTCGTCCTTCTACACCAACTAATCCTTCAAAGTTTGCCAAAATGATGGTAGATGTGGATAAATGTCCTCGTTGTGGCAAATCAGTGTACGCTGCAGAGAAGATCATGGGAGGAGGAAAAGTAAGTAGTTATTAGGAAAAAAAAAAAAAAAAAAAAAATCACACTTTTATAATGGTGATAAACTATAGCTAATAGGTCCCTCATCTTTTAAATTTTTACTCAGTCTCAATGAATAAAACATGAGGATGAATTAACAAACTGCTAGAGAGCCCAACATACTTTCAGGTTTAAAACCACTTTCAGGTTTAAAACCACTTTTCGTAAGCTGCCTTCAACTTCTTGCATCTTGTTGATGTCTGAAGAACAACTCGTGGCTACTGTACAGGCTGGCTCTTCTACCACTGTTATGCTACTACCACCTCTGGGGATATCTGTAATTTAAACGTTGATTTGCCGTGGCAATTGCAGATATATTAGAGATCCTGTGACTAGAAAAACAAAAGCCTGTCTTGCAGGACACGCTACTTCTCTGCTCTAGGAACTCTCACTAGAATATCTCTGCACATCAAAGTGGCCAAAACAAGAATACTATCTATAGCTCCCTGCTTTCTGCTAGACCTTAATTAGTAAAAAGTCACTAGGTAAGATCTTGATATGGGATAATAAAGTAACTGAAAAAAGACTAACCTAGAATGACTAAAATTGGAAGCCCTAAGGCCAGCAAAACAATTTTAACCTTTTCACAACATAAGAAGTGGTAGTTCTTTGTTTCTTGTATCTGCTAGCTGTGCACTTTCTGTAACATACAATGAACTGTCTTAATATCCTCAGCCGTGGCATAAGACTTGCTTCCGCTGTGCGATTTGTGGAAAGAGTTTAGAATCTACGAATGTTACAGACAAAGATGGAGAACTCTACTGTAAAGGTAAGAATTGTCATGGGCTGAACTGGGTTATTGAGTCCATCTAAAATTAGCCTTTTAAGATCTAGTATTGCCATCATGATTTACCCTGCTGCATGCTTAAGAACTTAATGAAATTTCATTTTATCTTTTTTTAACAACGGTCTCAAAGCAAAGAGCTATGCTAACACTGCAATTGCATCTTCTACTATTAACATTTAAATTTTAAAGTAGTAATTTTTCTGTACATACCACCTCCTCTCAGATCTGTCCTCAGACCTTCTAACAGGAACACCGGCTGCATCTGCTGGGCAGACTCTTGTATCTGCAGAATCTCACTCACTAAAAAAAATAAATTTAAAAAAAGCCACAAAGACACAGACCTTCAAAGGTCATCCATTTAAGGTCACAGTCCTAATTTGAATTCCTGCCTGTAAAAGTTAAAAGATGCTTCCACGATATTGGTAGCACAGAAGATACACATTAATGATAAATTATACATACAGATGTTCTCAGATCAAGAAAGTTCACGGACTCTACTTGACTCTTCGAAATAGCTTAAGGGGAAAAATATGCAGTTTTTATATTCTAGGCTAAACTTTAGAATCCTAAAGAAGAATTTGTAAGTTCTGTGACTTTGGGTATAGTCTGACAACTGCAAGTGATCAAATCTGCGTATATGGAGAAATATGCTGACCATTATTATTTCCTTAGCAGAGCTGTGATAAGTAACTACGCACACACTTAGTAACACAGATTTAAAATGGAGCTGTTTAAACTACCATCATTAGATCCTGAACAAATGCTCCAGTTCTTTTAACCTCGTTTGAAAATCTCTTATTACTTAGCCTGTTTTACTGCATATTTGCAGACAAGAAAGTAGCTTTTTGCAAAAGTTATTTAGATCTTAAGTACATACAGGGTTTTTTTTGTTGTTTTTGAGAAGATCAGATGTGACTTTTTAAAAATCAAACATGTGATTTCAGTTTCACTATTAGAACCTGTTGACACTTCTAGGAAAGACACTATTTCAGATTTCCTTTGTTTTATTTACATTTGGTAGTAGTACTAAAACCAGAAGTCATTTACATGAAAACATTCAGAATACCATTTACCTCCTTTTTTTTTGCAGTTTGCTATGCAAAAAATTTCGGTCCCAAAGGAATTGGCTTTGGTGGCCTCACTCAAGTGGAAAAGAAAGAGTGCGAATGAGAAGAAATGGATGCAACTGACTCAAACTGCTGTTGATGCCACCAAGCGATAGCTGCCAAGTAAAACATTAAACATCACGCATTGCTAAGAATCTAGGGCATTTGTTTAATATTTTCCACATTGCAGGAAAAACTTGTGAGCTTATATCTTAAGAAATCCTTTGAATAGCTTAAAAAGGTACAGTGATAAACTAAGATTCATGTTTGTTTTACACTCAAGAAAGATTAAAAGTGTCATGGAACATTATTGCTTCTTGAACTAGTACTTACCACACTGTAGAATGGAATTTTAAAAACGCAGCATACTGTCCCATTAAGATAGAGATCCCCCATGGAGCGTGAGGGGTCAGTGTTCCAATTTAAGCTGTATTTTCCTTTGTTCAGAATGTTTTGCCGTCTGTATTTCTACCAATCTCCTAGTGGCGTTTTGAACACGTTAACATTTTTTTTTTAGTGCAAAGTAGGTATTATTTGCTTTGAGACTATTAAAATGGATTTCAAATTCTTTCTCTCAAAGGGAGATATTTCTACAGAAAACCAGCATTTTATTAGAATACAGTGTAGCGAGTTTTGTTATTGTATGTTTTCAAGCTACAATAAAGTATTGATACTGCTTCACATTTCTTTTTCTTGAATTTGCTTGTGCTTTTATGTTCTACAATGTCTCGGATAAATGCATTTCACCAAGATGAATGAAATGCCCCATTTCTTAACTACAAGAATCGTGTTTCATTACACGACCTTACTCTTATGTTGTCAGTTCTATATGGTATTTAACTTTAATTTTCTGATCCGTTTCCATGCTGGTTTTCATTATTACCTACTTTGACTTCCATTCAAAAACCACACTGCCCAGCTGGCCACTCCAGACTGATGTTGTAGCCTTTCCTTGGGAACACAGCTGACATCTAGCTATTGAAGATCTGTGCAGGTAGCTGGGAATAACTCCCTCTGTTTACATACACTGCTATTTTCCGTCATCATCTTACCCATTTTCATACACTAACAGGGCATATATACATGCAAAATGTAAGGCAAGAGAGTCAGGGTTTTTCTTATGGCTTTGTGCTTACCTATTCTTAAGTACCACACTGGTCACCTATCCCTTGAATCTATTTCAGTCTGTAAGAATACCATTAGAAGCATGAAAGCTCTATTTTATTACATGTAAACACTCCAAATACAATGACTACATAGAGCTTTGCACAGCATTAGCAATAAAACTACAGGGTAATTGTAATATTAAATTTTTAATAATGAACACACCCCTTAATTTTCAAATGTAATTTCCTTTTATTATCTGCAAAATAAGCAAAGGGTACGAACACAGTTTTGAACCTCTGCCCTAAAATCTTACCTTTAAAAAAATATATTCTCAGTGTCATCACATAAAATTTCAATTCATTTGAGCTCAAACTATATATACACAGACATATAGTGATTGTTCCATATAGAAACCTGCTGTAGCTTATTCAAGTTTAATATTTGAAACAATAACAAACCCAAGCAACTTCAGAAGAATTTGTAAAAATTAACAAAATATCCAGTTTTATTTAGCTTTCAGCTCAACTGTTCTCAAAATTAAGCAAAACTTCATACAGAATGAACATTTTTCTCCTTTGCCACATGAAAAAGGTTGTATTGCTTCGTCCAGTCAACTACATTGGGTTTGAACATACCAAAGCAACCACACTGAAAAAAGTCCGCAAGATTCTGGAAGCATCCAAGACTGAAAAGGAGAGAAACATCCATTAATAAACCTAAGAAAAGAAGACTGCAAGCATCAAAAATACACGTTCACCATGAGACACTACTTAAGATATAAGGCTGTCAATGAAGACATCTCTGGGAGAAGAAACATAAGGATATTTCTCTATTGAGCATTATTCCTTTGTTGAACTATTACAACTTGTATTACAGTAAAGACTGAGAGCAGATTAAGTTCAACTCAAACATTTATGAGTTAGTACTTAGTAAGATCTCATCTGTTAACACACATGAGGAAACACAGACTTCTAGCATAACAGGGAAACTGTGGTCCTAATTTCTCTACTGAGCTAAATGCTGTAGTAGTAGTCAGAAAGAGAGCAATTCATACCTTAGTTCTCTTTCTGAACCTACAGAATGGGCACAGAGATTGATGAAAAAATTGGACAACACCCCCTCACCCCCAAAACTGGGTGTACTGATTAATGCTATGGACTTATTTTGGCACATCTTTTTCCTATATGAACAGTCACGCAGAAAGAAGACCACTAGCTCTTATGCTGGCTGTTTATTTCCTAGGGCAAAAGTTCTCAGCAAGGAAAATGAGGTTCATTTCCTCCTTTTAGCACAGTTCATAACATGCATGAGTAGCACATCCATAGACCGCTGTTTTTTTACTTTAATGAAGTAGTGAAGCAAATCCATACTGAAAAGATACAGGCTTAAAACATGCTATTAATTAATACTCACTTGTATGGAGTTCTCCTGAGCGAAACAGGATGCTTAGAAGATTTTTTCTGTATCAGGAGGTTCATTCTTTCATGCGAGGTCAATCCCAAGAATGCAATCTTACCAAAAGGAAAATGTAAGCAATGGTTAAACATGAAGATCACAAATTAAAATTCTAAAAGACACTATTGATAAGGGAGGGAGGGAGGGGAAGAGGTTGGCCATATCTAATAAGTCCACAATTGACTGAAAACTATGTTTTTAAATGTTACTGGGACTAAACCAGAACCCAGCAAGCTGTGACATTAATGCTTCCACTGAAAAGGCAGGCTTAATCAGGATGACCACAGAGACTGTACTTTTACAGATGTCTGTAGAAGTATAAGATCTATCCCCCAAAAGAGACAAAAGCTTAGCAAAAAAGATGACGCAGATGTCAGAGACTCAACAATAACTTCGCTATTTTCTTGATTCCATGTCTTTTTTCACCAAGTTTCACAATGAAATTTAAGGTTTTTTCCCTGCATTTTTGCTTACTTACTCCTTTCCTTTTTTTTTTTTTTTTTAATCAACATAAATCTCATAGACCTTTATAAATGGCTGCAAGGATCCTTCACTGAATGAGATGCTAAACATCAAAAAGTGGGACATTTACAAATGACTGTGTATGAAATACAGTAGTTAATTGTAAAGATCCTACCTAGATCCTTTTTTTTTTTCCCCCCAGCATGGTATCTCAGTGCCTTGGACATTACAGAAATCTAGCAGTACACATTTAAAATAGTGGATATATATATTTTTTTTTAAACAAAATGTAAACCAAATCTTTAGCTCAGTATGCTTCACACATATTCCAATGACACATCTTTCCTAAAAGCTGCTAAACAAGCTGTTTCCTAGATGTTTTAAGACAGCTCTTCTCTATCTTGTTTGCATAGCCAAATTCTCCCTGAGAAAAACATAAACAAGAAATTTGACAGTCTTCATCCGGATAAAATCCAGGTCATAATTTTTTATTGTAGCAATGAGCTTTAATACAATCTAGTGACTCACTACTGAGCTCTACCACACAATTTTCAGTTCAGGACTAATTGTGCTATTGAGCTTTTGTGCCGGTTTTGGGGCAGTAACACCAGTTCTATTAGTCAAGTAAGTTTTACCTTTAAATACATCTTTTTATAGGTCTGGTATTTTTGATGAGTAGTAAACCCAGAACTCAGTTATAGGAATGATTTGCAGACTGGGATCCTACTTTTAACACTGGAATGCTGAGTGCACAAGTACCTGTGAAACTTCAAGGGCTGCCCTGAGATCTAAAAAAAGCACCTAGATATGAATATTAATTAGTCAAGGAAAGCAGGCACAGATTTTATGACAGCAAATCATCTAGGGAAAAGTTTTAATATGGTGACTCTTACAGAGAGGAGCATAAACTGAAGCAAAATAATACCTGATAAAGCTGAACCATTAGCCACAATGAAGCCCATACAGTATGAAAACAGGCTACTGTGAAGATGTAGAAAACCCAGGGAGAACAATGTATTATCTGTGTGAAGTATGTCCATGCTCCATCTTGCTGATAACTTGTGGCGCAATGGTTTGACCAATCTGACAAGATACAATCAGTTAATCACGTTTTTAATATAGGCCACTTAAGAAATAAGCAAAGATTATATGCATTGTATGAATATTACGTAGCAATATGCTCTAAAAATACCATGTTTGATATATCATGTTCCCACTTACAAGCACCCACATCGACATTGACTGCTTGCTATTCTGGCTGCATAATCTTTACATTCTATGTTCATAATCCACAGCAGGAACATTCAAGGCACTGGGCTAGGCACTTTTTAAAAGTTAAATACTAATGTTGAAATAAGCCATCATCTGTCATTGTCAAGACTCCCAAAATTTTGCTTCATGTTTATTTGTCATTTTAGGACAAGAATGTACCCTCTCTCAAACACGACCATCAACAAAAGACCCCATTATGGTGGCAGTGCCAAGAAAACATATTTTATCGCTATTAAATAGACATAAACTGGAATTGCCAACTTCTGTAAATTTACTGAGATACTTAAAGCCTACCACATATGCCTTTAACCTATAAAAAAAACCCCAAACAACTAAAAGCAGAGCAACTTTTTTTTGCCTCTATGTCAGTGGAACAATAAAGATGTTTTCCTCCCATGTTCCTTCACACAAACAGAAAAAAAAAAGCTTTTTGCATACATAAGACTACTACTGAAACATAGGAAAGCGACTCATGTTCATGAGTGTCCTGTGTCCTCCACTGCCACAGCTCGCTCACTTTGCTCTATATTGAATATTGACTCATTTTAATATGTGATTTAATATAAAATAACATGAACTCTCTCTAGTTTTTAGTTAAAAGACTACTGCTATGTTAATTCATTCTCAGAAACTACATTATAAGGGCTCTCCTCCAAGAAATTTCTTAATTTTCCAAAGTAACAGTTTGGATTTCTTAACGAGATACACAGTTCTCCTCTTTACAAAATGAAACTTTTGTAAGTGTTCAATACAGATATTTCCAAATAATAAAATCAATAAAGCCTTTGCAATAATGTATTAACACATTTTTTTTCTACTGCAGTAAAGGGTATCCAGACTAGAACCTGAAACCTGACTTCCTCCACACGACTATTGCACTTCTCAATGGACATCCCACTAGAGCTGTATCTTAGTTTCTACTCAACACAAACATAATCAGATATTTGACCAAAGACTCAGAGATAATATATTTTCATGTAAAGACAGAATTACAAGATAATGTCACTGCTGAAATACAGTATCATTTGTGCAGATATAATTACACTTGCTGGAAATGAAATGCTGAAAAATAACAACCATACACGTGCATCCTTGAAAGCTAAATTAAAATAAATTAATGGATACATACACAGAAGAGTTCCGTGAAGCAGCCAGACACCGGTCATCATTAGGAAAGACAGGAACAGTAGGTAGTAACGATGGTTCCCAACACCTGTATTTGAGGCAAGGAAAAAAAAAATTGACATTTTAAAATCCAGCAGTATCAGCAGTCAACAGGAATAAAAAGAATCAAACCCACTTATTATTACCTCTGCTATCCTCAAGAGTGTTTGGCAAGGCTGATAGCTTTCTCAACATTTCTCCTGTAAGCCATCCC